CCGGATGACCGATTTGTTCGATATACTTTTTATATGCCTGTAACCAAGCGAAAAAAACAAAAAACATTTCGCATTACAGCGACATTGCATGAGTTGGGTTTCTAGCGATAAAGAGTTGAAAGATTGAGGTAATTAGATTGAGCCAATTTTGTTTGATTGTAAATTGTTAATTGAAAATTTACTCTTTGCTTGACGGAAATAAAATGTTTACCCGAAATGATTGTTTGATGCCACCGTTGTCAGCGATATTTTCGCCTAATGTGAGCTTTTCCATTTACCTACAAATGAATAAACGAATATTTCAAAGAATGCGCAAACTTAATGAACAATTTATTTCATCCTATTCTATCAATTCAACTAAAAATTTTAATTTAGCAAGAAAAGTATCAGTTTATGTTTCAGTCATATCACATCACACTTTCCCGGAAATCCGGATGCTCAACTCATTTGGATCTGACAGTATTTCTAGTACTACCAAGTCTCAAAATCAATCCATTATCAAAAATAACCAACTGTGACTATAAACGATGGTAAAACTGGCACTGAAACTCAACCGATACATTTTTTTTTGTTCTGTACTTCAAAATATGCAAAAAATTAATTGGATTTAATAAGCAGTGAACGTTTTTCGCATTAATGTATTGTCGTAATAACTTCTTATCGAATTTTCCGCAGCACAAAAAATTTCTTTCAACTATTTCTGAAATTATTTATTTACTTTTCCTGTAGAAGCTAGTCGATGAGTCACTATCCCGTAACAAAATATTGGAAATACGATGATATTAAAAAATCATTTTGATATGAAATGTTATCAATATTTTTCTTTCCTAATGTAAATCATCGCTTACCTTTCCTTGTCATTGTTCATTCCTTTCTACTAACTTTTTAAAATTTGTTCTTAACTTCATTCCGAACATTTTATCCAAAAGCAGCGATATAGATGATCTATTTGCTATTCTGCGAAATAGATGGAAAAAGAGAAGAAAAAAAAATGACCGATAGATGGAAGAATATAACGGATGCAGAAATATCATTACAATAGCGGCCGATAAACAAATCGAAATGTTTGCAAAAATTTTTCTGGCGAAGGTTTATTACCGACCAACTTTTCATTTTCATCCAATGTGACTTTAATTTTTATCAAACCATTGTTCGGATTTTATTCTCACTTTTCTACAACCTTAACTTCTTTCATTCAAGAAGTTATCAAATATATTTTTCGATCTTAGACATTTCGATTCCCTTTATTTTTCTGCCTATTTTTGCAACACAATCACTTAATTAATTATTTAGTTCATAATGTTTCTCCAGCCATCGAAAAGTGGAACTTACACTTGCTTCGGGAATGTTCAGCATTTATCAATTCTTTTGTTTAAATTTCATCGCTTATTTAATTTTATCTTCAACTATTGCACTAGCTGAATGTAACTGTGGAGTTACTTACTTCACTTACTTTACTTCACTTACTTTTAATTTTTATGATAGCAACAAAAGGATTTTCAAATTACAAAAGTAGAGAAATCCCAAAAAAAAAATTTGAACTTTAAGTAAGCCAAAGTTTATAAGTGAAGTTTTTTGATTAAAAATTCTTAAATCATTTAATATGATCCAATATTCAATTTTCGCTAAAAATAATATTTTGTTTATTGCTCATCTCAGCTGTTCCAATGCTATTATTATGAGTATTATGATGATTGTTGGGAGATTGGACTTCAAGATAATTGGATGATACACAAATAAAAGAATGCGCAGATTTCAGGATCTGAAGTATTATTGCCAATATTTTCTCGTCTTTCATACAGTACAGTTTATGGATAATTTGGATAAATAATTTTTCTATGGATAAATTTGCAACTTTTTGCATTACGCTTTTCAGCTTTATTTCCAACGGTGACTCATTTTGTTCTTTTAACAGTTCATTCTCAATTAGACTAAATTTTCAACTCGTTGTTTACCAATCTAAAGTTTTATTTATTACAATGAGCTATTTCATTATTTTAATAAACCAATTTGAATTTGATGTAATATGTGATACAAATAAATTAGCTGCTCGCAATCTCTGTTGCTTTTTTCTTGCAGATTTTTTAGCAAAGTGATAATTTCATTCTTTTCATTCTTTTATTAGCAAAATTTCCTGGCTTCATTCCAGGAGTTTTTCCAATTATTAAACGAAATAAATGTATAGCAGAAAATCAAATAAGTTGCGGATTCAAATAAGTTGCACACCGTAATCAAAATAATTTTGTCAGAAAAACGGTGTTATCGGTATTCAAGTATCGAAGTGCGAACAGCTAGTTGTGCAAGTCATTCTTAGGGATTATCCAAAAATTTTAAAATAAAACTAGTCAATGAATTGTGAATTGATTTCCTGAAAGGTCGATGAAATGAAGGAAAACAGATATCATCCGATTCTGTATTCTTCTCTTTTTCATATACTTCTCTTTCATTCTTCTTCATACATTATTTATAGCATTAACGAATGATACTATGAATTGGAATGAATTATCGTCAGGATTAAATTTCAATACCAATTCATTATCGGAAGAAATGACTAATGAGATTGATACAAATGGATATGCTGTTGTTGCCCATAACATTGTATGTTTATGTAATATATTTAGCAATTTTTTTTTGAAATTCTTCATGGTTTAAACTTTATTTTTAATCACTTTTTCAGTTATATTTTTAATTACCAAATTAATAAATTGCAAGCTAGTTTCCTGATAAGCCCATAGTGACAATTAAAAAAAGAAAGACTGGAAATGGCCAAAGCCACAACTTACTGATATCCAGATAAATTTAAATATTATTCGCTTAAAAATAACTTCCATTGCTTAACATAGTAGCATGATAAGATTTTTTGTAAAATATTTTGATAGAATCTTTAGGAAAACCTTTGGAAGAAACATAAATGTCTAAGGAAGAATGCCGGCTTATCACTAATTTATTACAGCTTAATTCGATGAATACAACAACGGATCCATGCAATGACTTTTTCCAATACGCTTGTGGACGATGGATTCATGAACATCCGATACCGGATGATAAGTCTGGATTCGGAACATTTGTAATAACCACGAACATAGTCCGAAATCAAATGAAAGGTAATGTTGGAAGTGTTGCATGCATCATCTCATTCCAAATTGTTTTTCATTTCCATTTGAAAAATTCCCCAATTTAAGTATTCAGTTTTAATGTAAACAATTCACTTTTTTTCAATGTATTCGACTGTATATCAGTAGTATACAAGAATTTCGATTGTTTTTTTTCTTTTTAAATCATTTGCAACTCATTTTGGTATCCAAATTTGAATGATGGAAATTGCACAAGTATTCGATCAAATATATTATGAGAAAAAGATACACAACGTGAATCGTCAGATTCACTTCTTATGATATTCACTTCTTCAAAAAAGCCATTTTCAATCCTGCAGTTTTAGCATTTCAATATCTGAAACCTTTTTTTTCCTTTTTCTTTTTTTAGCATTACTGGAATCAAATGAAACGGTATCACCGGGATGTATTGGAATGTCTCGTATTCTTTATAAAGCATGTATGAGTGTTGATGAATTTAACATTATAGAAACTAAGTATGTTTTGTTTTTTTCTATTTTTAACCTTTTTAAAATGTATTGTTGAATAGATTCATAAAGTGAACACAATGTATATTTTTTATAAATTAGCACTAATTTATTCATTTTTGTAGGCAATTGATCGAAACGTTCCGTAAAATTGGTAAATGGCCATTACTTGAAACAGAATGGGATAACTGTACGCCTAACATTACGGATATGTTGGCATCAGTAGCCCAACATTTTGGTGACCCAATCTTATTCAAAGTTTTTATTGATGCTGAATCAAAAAATACCACAATTCATGGTTTATATGTAAGCATGACATGACAAATATTTTGAATTTAAAATTTTTAGGAAGACTAAAAATGAAGATTAAAGGAAATAATAAATATCGTTTTCTATGTCATACCAATTGCTACCGTTTTTCGTGTTCTATGTAATCATTTAAAAAACAACTTAATTTATTAATTGCTGGTAAATTATTTCAAAAGTTCGGAGCATTCGTAATTCCTCTTAGCAGCAATTTCAAATAATTTTTAATGACAATAAATAAATTGTTTTATTTTTCGAATAAACACATACTAATACGAAAACCACTGCTTATTTTTTAAATAAAGAATGCTTGTTGAGAAATTTGCAGGTGGATCAAGCTAATTTGGGTCTTGGAAGTGGCACTCAAGATTATTATTTGAATCTACTAAAATTCCCGGAGCATCTGAAGGCTTATAAGGAATATCAATTGGATACCTTGAAATTGGTATTAAGTGGAGCTAATATTAGTTATGATATATTTCAGCTAATGACCGATATTGATGACGTGACAGCATTTGAAATAGAAATTGCCAAGGTTTTATTTTACGTTTGCCTTGAGCTGAATTCTGCACATTGTGATATGTAAGCAAGTAGAGTAAATTAAATTCTTGGACAAAATAAAAGCAGCATCGGCACAATTGGCAAGTGATAATTCTGAAATAAAACATCCCAAAACAAAGTTCAAAAGTCTATAATTATTTATTTTTTTCCTTAATATGTCTCCGACATTATATTTGTAACTGGAACAATATGAGTTGTAAAAGAAATTTGGTTAAGTTATTATAAATAAACTTAGTCAAGGGATTGCATTTCTAAGTACAATCATATTTCGAGATAATCTTAATAAGCAAATGACGAGCTTTAAGTTGACATGTGAATCATCGTGGTACCTAAGACTTTATAAATGAGCAATTTTGTTGAATTGGAGAACTTTTAGCCAGAAATTTATTTTAGCTTATTGAACCAGAAGCAAATCGGCGCAACAGCTCGCGTTTATACAATAAAAGAATTATTGCCGATCTGTACTCATTGTTTCCACAGGTTTTCTTTTAATTTCTTAATTTATTTCCCATATGAACACTATCAATCATTGTCATGTCAATTGCATCTTTTTGTTTTCCAAATATAAGTTAAATCAAAAACTTGAAATAAATTGTAATAAAATTAATGAAGAAAACTGAAAATTTCAGATTATCCCGTACTAGTTGTTCAAATTATAATTCATTTCAGGTTCCTGATACCATATCATATTTCAGGTTGACTGGGTTAACTTTCTGATCCGTCTAACACCAACTTCAATACATGATCTAATTGATAATAATACGGATATTATAGTTCAAGAAGAGAAATTTATGAAAAATCTTTCAAATCTACTGAACATAACCAGCAAGCGCATCATTGCTAATTATATTTTTTGGCGGACAATTGATGTTTGGAGCGATATTTTGGGACGGACATTTGATGACTTTCGATTGGTATTCATTAATAATCTACAGTAATTTTTCTTAAACCATATTTACGATATTCAATCTATAATCATTGATAAATTGTATTATCAAGTTTTTTATCCTTTTTCTTTGTTCTTTTTTCCCTGATTGAGAATAACATTTGAATTAAAAGTTAGTTAGGATTCATGGGAAGTATTATAATTCTTTCAAAAATGTATTATCCATATGATATCTTTATCATATAATATCGATATCATATCAAATCATAGTATACTGAAGGAACATTAATGTATTTCATAAATTAATAATATTGATAACTTTTTTTCGTAGAAATTAATGCGTGTAATGAGTGGTCAACAAAAAATGATGCCACGTTGGCAAAGATGTGTCCAAAGGTCAGAAGATTTGTTAGCACAAGCAACCAGTGCTTTGTTTGTTCGGAAGCATTTTAGTTCGGATATACGAAAGGAAGTGATGGTATCATTTCACGTATTATTTATAAAATTTCAATCGACAGATTTATTTTGAATTATTTACCAATTCAAAAAATGAAACTAAAACTTCACATTAGCTAAAAATATTTCGAAAAAGAATAAGATTGAAAGTGATGTTCAATCTTATTGGAAATATTTTCAACAGTGTTAAATAGATACAGTAACCTATGAACAATGTATGATAACAGTAACATTACTAGAAAATTTCATATTGATCTATTGAATTCGTCAGGAAATCTTGGAGAATATTCAGAAAGCATTCCGAGATATTGTTGAAGAAATAGACTGGATGGACAGCAATACCAAAAAGGCTGCTTTGCAGAAGGTTTTTATAAATAATCCAATCAAAAATTAAATATATTTTTATTATGACTGTTGAAAATTCCCATTTAATTTCAATTTCTCATTACATCATCTTTTTAAAAATGATTGCATAAGATATGTATGACTCGTAGATTATTGAGGAAGATAGAAGAGTTTGTTCGTCTCCCTCCTTCACCTGTCAACTCAACGACACATTATACTTCTACATTAAAAGAAGGCTAACCTGGGACAACTCATTTATCCGTTATAACTGAAGTATTAGCATATTCAATTTTATTCACCTTATCGTGAAATATATTGTTTCCCTAGTCCGGATCAGACCATTTGGCCATTAACCGACGAAGTACGTTTTCGGCTAGTATGATTATTTTCCGGAATACTTCTGATACCATCGTATTATACATATATCAAAAGAAGCACATTGTCTTATTAATTTCAGTTAATTATATTCTTATATACAAACAAAGATTGACATTCTTAGGCTGCTGCAATGATCAACAAAATTGGCTATCATGATATAACCATGAATGATACAGCCTTGACTGAATATTATAAAAAGGTTAAAGTGCAGATTTCATTAATATATTATTTTGCTGACAGAAAAAAAGACGCAATAAATTGATTATTAATATAAATTGATTATATGTTTGGGTATTTAAGTTTGATGATAAGGAAAAGTGTGTCACTTTACCAGTCTATCAAATGTTTCAAATTGGAAATTCCTAATGATTATTTGAGGATAGCTGTAATTGAGTGTTATTTAGCTTGAAAGATCGAACGGAACAGAAGAATAGGATTTTACAGGGAAAAAAAAGCAAAAAGAATAGTTAGGATTGATAAAACATATTACTGCTTCTTTCGAAACAATAAGTATTGCTTGGATGGAAGGAGAGTAAAGTTTCTCCCGAGCTTTCAGATATGTATATCTTATAATCTAAAATAGAGACCGAATTTAATGAATATTAAATTGATTTCTTTCATTTACTTTCATTAAATCTGATAATTATTGTTGTTATTCTATCTTAGATTCACTTTTACTTCCAATCTTCCTTATGATTTCCCTACCTTCTAAATCTATGAAATATATATATGAAACTTCTTTCATTTTCTATCCTATTTCTGCTTCAGTTCTAAAGCTAAATATTATATCAGGAAAGTATGTAAAATATAAAATTGCTATTTTCAGTTAAAAATAACACCAGAAGATACCTATTTTCAAGCTTTACGTAAAATAGCAATATGGGATGCGGAAAGATACTTTTTACGTTTGAAAAAACCTTTCGACAAATACGAATTTGTGCAAAGCGCTTCAACTGTTAATGCATTTTTTACGTTTAAGATGAATTCACTGAGTAAGTTTCATTTTCTTTTTTCTTAGTTTTCTTCTTCTTTTTTTTCTCAATCAGTGATGTTTATTTTAAAAGCATAATTTTTATCAAATATTTTAGCTCTGCCAGCTGGTTTTCTCACACCGCCATTTTTCAATCGTTACTATCCAAAGTTAGTGCTCTCCCTTTTGGTCTATAAATATTAGACATCTACAAATATTAGACATATACTTTTATCGTCGCTATCTTCCTCTTTGATCTACATGTAAGCTAAATGACAGGAAGGTATTTACAGTGGTAGATGAGGAATTTCATTAATAATGCTGCTAATTCTGGAATAGTCATCAACTATTTCAAATTAATCGGACCATCCAGTCTTGCTATCATTGGCAATCTAACCAATCTTACACCTTAATGAGAGAGGTGGCCAGATGAGCTCTTTCAGCCAATTTGTCTGAAATTTAATTTGAATTCTAGTTTCTGCCGCTATTAATCAATTATAATCACATTTTAAAGAGCGGCAAATTATGGTGCGATAGGTACAGTGATGGGTCATGAAATAACTCATGGTTTTGATGATAATGGTTTGATTTCTTTTTTCTGCTTTATTCACTCGTTCACTTTGGTATTTAACAAATCAATTTGAATAAATATTTGATAAATTTTATCACATTAACAGAAATCACATTTGCACTTTTTTTTATCAAAGCTTTCATTAGCAAACGAATTTCATTATCACTAAATGCATAATCATTAACCAATGCTAATTGACTTAATGTCACGCTTATCAACCGAAGTTAACATTTGATGCAAAAATATTTTCCCTTATTAATATAACTCAAATATTTTGCATGCTATTTCAAGAATTTCATCCAGTAATTTATAGGAAAGAATGATTGACAATAGAAATGTATCATTGGAGAGTTTCTTTCGCAATCTCTTTTTAACGATTAAAGCAGAAATAAAATTAATAGCACATTCAGAAGTCCATAATGATAATCTTTTAATGCTTTATGTTATCACCTGAACTTATTGTCAGAGCTTATTTTCCTTGTAAACATTTTAATTGTACAACTGATATTATGAAATGTTTACAGGAAGTCTTTATGATATGAACGGTAATTTGAATAATTGGTGGAGTAAAGAATCGTACAAAAATTTTAGAAATAAAGCGCAATGTTTCGTTGAGCAGTATGAATCCTACAAAGTGCCAAACACAGATTTCAAGGTAGGAAACAGAAACGAATACTTTATTGTTATATTCAAGAGCAAATTTCGTTATCTATTATAACATGCAGTTATTAATTTCATTTTGAAAGACTCTTAGATTTAGTAGTAATAGTAATAGAAATAGTAAATTCAGGCAATCAGCCTGAACATCCGGATTTCCGGGAAAGTGTGATGTGATATGACTGAAACATAAACTGATACTTTTCTTGCTAAATTAAAATTTTTAGTTGAATTGATAGAATAGGATGAAATAAATTGTTCATTAAGTTTGCGCATTCTTTGAAATATTCGTTTATTCATTTGTAGGTAAATGGAAAGCTCACATTAGGCGAAAATATCGCTGACAACGGTGGCATCAAACAATCATTTCGGGTAAACATTTTATTTCCGTCAAGCAAAGAGTAAATTTTCAATTAACAATTTACAATCAAACAAAATTGGCTCAATCTAATTACCTCAATCTTTCAACTCTTTTATCGCTAGAAACCCAACTCATGCAATGTCGCTGTAATGCGAAATGTTTTTTGTTTTTTTCGCTGGTTACAGGCATATAAAAAGTATATCGAACAAATCGGTCATCCGGAGCCTCGAC